AATCAACCCCCCCCCCCCAAAAAAAAAAAAAACACACACACCCCTAACCAATGTGGGAGTGATATTGTATACATAGTCACAACTCCACATCACTCGCCAAGCCCTTAATAAAGGCAGGCCACCTAGGATAAACATATCACTTAAGAACTGCCAAGCTAATGATTCAACAAGTTTCATAAGCCAACTATGTTGTTTAGCCCAATCAAGGAAAGAAACGCTAGTAGAAAATTGAGAATGACCTCATGAAACAAAAAAATTACTAAGTACATTGATGCAAGTGAATCACCTCCTGAGAAATTATTCGGCATTGTCTCTCTCTCATCCAGGGACAAGTATAACTCCACAGTGGTGTCACTTTTGGCATTTTCAAGCAAGTACTTCAAGAATATAGATGAGACAAATAATGCATTAAGAGCCTTCGCAAAAGCTGAGGATGGCACGCTGGAAGTAGAAACACACTCCCGCAAACTCCATGCTAAGTGAATTAGAATCTTTGCAAGGTGCCTTGTGTAACAATTGTTTTGTGCTGCAAAAGACAACATAAAAAGACTAAGGAAAACACTAAACCAGAAATAACATGTTAACAAGAATACCATTCAAAAAAGAGGAACAAGTAATGCATTTCAAAATACTTCCTCTTCATTCTGGCTCATGACTGGGAGCTAAGAATCACATACGCCTCTAAGAAGGCATCGTGTCCAATCAAACGCCAACATATTTAGGTCGCAGTCCAAGTATTTTTGGCCAAGTCTATAGAAAAATTAAATGTGTGTTGGTATTCCTTTGATCACTTCTACCACATCATTTAACAGTGTCTGAATAAAGCTTGTGGTCAATCTGGATACTATCCATAGTTTGGAAGTTGGGAGAAAATTACACCTAAGACCACTTAATTAGAGTTTTATTTAAATTTATTCAAGCTACAAATGTGAGACACAACAAGGGGATGAGATTATAATCATAATTATGTTTGAATATTATTTTTTACAAGAAATGAATGCTTATTAACTATGCTAGTCATGTTCGTCTCCTACTTCTGAAGGGTTTTCCATGGCAATAAATTTTGGGTGTCTGATATATGTTGTGTTTACACATCCATGCTTCATAGATCAGGAGTGGTGGAATAGAAAAGATAGAACACAGTGTACTTTCCACCCCCATAGATGGGAAATTATAACATCTCGTGAAAAAATTCAAAAAAGGAAGCACACGTTTTTGGCTGATTACAACATTTAAAGAATTCAATAAAGACTAGATAGTATAAATTGTATCAAGTCATAACTTGTGAATTTGACCGCTTCAATTTTTACTTTCTTGCCATTTGGTTCATCACCCAAAACTTCCACGATCCAATTTTTTAAGACTACTCCTATGGTAGCCTCTGTTTTCCATAATTGCTTGATTTGAGATACTAAAATTCTAACTTATAAAGCTGGCAAATTGCCACAACTCAGTGTTCTGAGAGATGATACCAAATGAAATATTTAAATCACAGAAACAAAATAGAGGGGGCGGCCACACAGTGAGTGCTTGACAGATCGGATAGAACACAACTGACATTGCTCTTTAGTCATAAATTCACAATTCCTGCAATGCATTTGGGTTGTAGGCATTGCAAATGGAATAAAAACAAATTTCAACCAATTTAAACTTTTGCCCATTTTTCACGATTTGAAAATTTTATTATGGTGGGGTTTTTAGCATAACATAATTGCTTGGCTAGCATGAGAAATTTCAAATCATGCGATGTTCTTAATGTTGTGCAGATCCTTCTTTTTGACTTCACAGCCCTCAAATTTTCATTAGCGGAAACCAAATCTTGCATGACTGTGTTCCTTGTGAACACTAAAGTGATGAAACTAGCACACTATGTGCTTGAGCCTTCACGTGTTTTCAACCTTTCAAAACATTGACAAAGATGTCTTACATATGAAGGACATTTTGATAAAACTGTACAAGTTTGCTAACTCTGGGTTCAACATTTCTCAATTTATTACTAAGAGCTAGAAATTACCAAAAATTAAGTTACAGAAGTTTGTGATGTAATTAAAAGTTTGACAAGCAAGCTGGCAGCAACCCATCACCTTATAGGATCAAAACACCTTAGACACCCATGTATGGTCTTCAGCTTACCGTTTGTTTAACAGCATGGATTCACACGCCTTCAAATGTAATTGGACCAAAACTAGCTCTACCTTTGAAATCTCCAATTCTAATTCCAAGACACAAATCTCATGCTTCCAAACGTGGTCTTAGAATTTGTGAGATGATTCAGTGCACACCATCTACATCCTATCAAAAGGCCTGATTTTTGAGTTTATGACGTCAGAACTGAATGCCTATCGTATAATTGTAAGCCTGAACATTACACCAATTCAGTTCTCTTATTGGAAAATTCCAAGGCACAGAAGCAAAGATTACATGTAAACTCCAAAACTGTCGTATCAACAATTCACCAACATACGCAGTATTATTAGGACAAGTTCACAATGCGATAAGAATAGAATACAATGATTAAATGAAATCGTAAAAATACAACTGTCAACACGCAAAATAAAATTAATATAAATTAACCAAAAAAAAAATCAAAATTAACTGACCAAAGAGCTCGCAAGCTTGGCGAACATGGTGAGAGGGCCAATGAAGATTGAGGGGAAGCTCAAGCAATTTCTGCCAGTAATCGGAGCCGAGAGGGAACGATTTCTCACCGACGTACGTTGCGATTAGGTACTCCGCCGTGTCTTGTGGCCGCGTGGCACCACTCCACCGCGGCGTTGAAGGCACAGCCCCCATTCACGAATCTCTCTATACTGTGAGCTTCTCTCTCTTCAATCAACTCGCCGACACAATCAATCACAATGGCAATGCAAAGACGAATAAGATTAACTCTCTGGATCTGGAATGTTTGGAGACCAGAGGACACAGTGATTGTTCGGTGCGAATTGAAGCCAAGGGAGACAGAGAGAAGTGGCTTGGAAACGAAGATTTTGAAGAGACTTTGTAGAGAGAGAGAGAGAGATTGAAAAGGACTTTCTCTCAGGATCAGTATACATTTTTAGTTTCGACAAAATCAATATTTCACAAAGTTGACAAAACTGCCCTCCGAGTTTTAGAATATTGAAAATCATTAAAAATAAAATTAAGATCATTCTGTGTAGGAAAAATGAAGAAAGAAAAAGGAAAAAAAAAAGGTGATGGAAAAAAGGAATGGTACTAGTAATACCAATTTTTCTTTTGTTTTTGTATGTTTGCAATCACCATTAATTTTTCTTTCCTTTTCTTTTCTTTTTTTTTTAGTTTCTCGATCGCAATAAAGTGTTATAAAATGATGAAAAAATTAAAAAAAGATATTGTCGAAGATATAGAGTAATTAAAATAACAGGAAGCATGACTTTAAACAATGATCACTTTAATCGTTTTTTAATCAATGAGGGGTCACATGTGAGTTTTTTTGATGAGGTCTCAATAAATATAAGCGTGAACTGATTTAAAAAATAATACGAAAAATAATAACAATCTTGTGGGAGCATTTTAACCCACGTGATAAAATTCAAAAATATAAGTGATTAAAAGCGTAAACTTCATGAAAATAATAAAAAAAATGCAATAAAAACTATGAAATACATATGATTGGATAAGAAAAGCTCCAAAACCCTTTTCAACATTAAGTTTATGCTTAGTAGGTCTCTTTAGCAATAACTAGTCATATCTTATAGCCATGTGAGAATGCCATTTTAGTAGTTTTTCAAAAAAAAAATTACTAAAATTATTTATACAATATTTTTTGGTGATTGCTTTATTAATTTGGTTGCCTATTAATAATAATAATTCCTATGTAAACACTTATTTGTTCTTAAATGAAATTTCTAATCATTCATGTAGTGTAGACTAAAAAAGCAAAGTTGTGTATTCAATTGTAAACAATTAATATAATCTTTATTGGGCTAAAGTTAAATTTTAAAGATGTGTATGATATCAAACTTTAGTTTTTCTATTACATTAGACACTTTAAATATATAACTTTTTCATATTTTTACCCATTTTGCTAAAATATCTAAGCCAATGTATTTATTTTCCATAAATAACATATTTTTCCGCAAGAAAAATTTTGTTTAATTGTAAATTATTGTAAGTAAGTTACGTATTTCTCCCTCTTCATAAATTTCACAGTAATAAAAATTTTATGTAATAAATTATTTTTTTTATTTGTACAAATTTACGGTACCCATAAGAAACATATAAGTAACAATATCAAAGTTGATTGAAAGTCATAAATTTTAGTTTGATTGATTTGTAGTTACTTATTATAAAAATAATAAATTAATACAAATAAAAAAATATAAAAAATTTAAAGTCTAAAAACTTTATTGAATGAAAATAGAGTTATCGTATTAAAAAATATTTTTTCATTACTACAATTAAATCCTTTTATTTAGCCAGAATTTCCATATATCAAAGGGAATATCTATTAACTTTGCCCAAAATAATTTACCAAAAAAAAAAAAAATTGCCCAAAATGGATAATGATCCCACATAAGGGCTATTTTAGTCATTACATATATAGTAGGTGGAGTTTCACCATTAATTGCGGTTTTGTTGTCGCACACAGCTGGTATTTTCTTTCGTCGGTAAGGAGTCCACGTGGCAATTCTCAATGCTTGTTAACCGGCATCGATGAATGCAAGACCCACTCGTCATAATAGCGCGTCAATATCACCCACTATCAGTCTTACGTGTCAACCATGAAAGTGCTTCTCAGATTAACTGCAAATCAACCTCCAAGAGTGTGACGTTTGTGTTTCACGCGCTAAATAAGGTTTGTGGTTGTGATTTTTCTAAATATTCATAATCGCTCTTACTGATCTTGTGCTTGACGACCTACGAGATAAGCATGAGGTCTGGTCACATTACCTTACCCCACTTTCCGTTCAATAAAATATGACACTTTAAAATTTTTTAGGGTGAATTATACTTTGTACCTAAAAGATTTAAATATTTTTATTTTACACCTTCAAAGATAAACTTTTTTAAATTACATCTTTAATATATTAAAAGTGTTACAATACGCTTTTTCTGTTAATTTTTGTTATTTTTTTCTTAAAAACCTCTCTATTCTATTGACACTGACAAAAAAATAACGAAATTAAACAAAATAATCATATTACAACATTTTGGATATATTAAGGGCGCAATGTAAAAAGTTAATTTTTTAAGNGAGAGAGAGAGAGAGAGATTGAAAAGGACTTTCTCTCAGGATCAGTATACATTTTTAGTTTCGACAAAATCAATATTTCACAAAGTTGACAAAACTGCCCTCCGAGTTTTAGAATATTGAAAATCATTAAAAATAAAATTAAGATCATTCTGTGTAGGAAAAATGAAGAAAGAAAAAGGAAAAAAAAAAGGTGATGGAAAAAAGGAATGGTACTAGTAATACCAATTTTTCTTTTGTTTTTGTATGTTTGCAATCACCATTAATTTTTCTTTCCTTTTCTTTTCNATCATTAAAAATAAAATTAAGATCATTCTGTGTAGGAAAAATGAAGAAAGAAAAAGGGAAAAAAAAAGGTGATGGAAAAAAGGAATGGTACTAGTAATACCAATTTTTCTTTTGTTTTTCTATGTTTGCAATCACCATTAATTTTTCTTTCCTTTTCTTTTCTNTGTGATTGAAATTTATCATTTTTTATTTTATAGTTATATAGTAATCAAATTAAAATCTACATTCTCCCTACTTCAATATGGTATTCAATTTTCTGTGGGTATACTTCTCCTGGAATTTCTAATTTAATCTGATTAACCTTTAGCTTTAATTGTTTATTGACATTTTTGCCCCAGGTTATAGCATATCCAACCTAGTTCTACCTAGGGTTGTTGCCAAACCTATCTGGCTATCTGGGTGTAGCTATTCTTTTGATTTGTTCGTATTAAAAAATAAAGTTAATATGAGTAGGCTTCTTGCAGCTGGTGAACCAGCCGGTCCAGCCCCCACACACTCGACCAAACCAGAGGCTGCGCCAATTATCCATCCATAAATCACATATATTTCATTTAGCAAGTACATGATCTAAAAAATAAGAATACCATCGATAGAGTCATACCATAGGAAAAGTCAACTCTTTTATTTATGGGGNTTTTTTTTTTAGTTTCTCGATCGCAATAAAGTGTTATAAAATGATGAAAAAATTTAAAAAAGATATTGTCGAAGATATAGAGTAATTAAAATAACAGGAAGCATGACTTTAAACAATGATCACTTTAATCGTTTTTTAATCAATGAGGGGTCACATGTGAGTTTTTTTGATGAGGTCTCAATAAATATAAGCGTGAACTGATTTAAAAAATAATACGAAAAATAATAACAATCTTGTGGGAGCATTTTAACCCACGTGATAAAATTCAAAAATATAAGTGATTAAAAGCGTAAACTTCATGAAAATAATAAAAAAAATGCAATAAAAACTATGAAATACATATGATTGGATAAGAAAAGCTCCAAAACCCTTTTCAACATTAAGTTTATGCTTAGTAGGTCTCTTTAGCAATAACTAGTCATATCTTATAGCCATGTGAGAATGCCATTTTAGTAGTTTTTCAAAAAAAAATTACTAAAATTATTTATACAATATTTTTTGGTGATTGCTTTATAAATTTGGTTGCCTATTAATAATAATAATTCCTATGTAAACACTTATTTGTTCTTAAATGAAATTTCTAATCATTCATGTGGTGTAGACTAAAAAAGCAAAGTTGTGTATTCAATTGTAAACAATTAATATAATCTTTATTGGGCTAAAGTTAAATTTTAAAGATGTGTATGATATCAAACTTTAGTTTTTCTATTACATTAGACACTTTAAATATATAACTTTTTCATATTTTTACCCATTTTGCTAAAATATCTAAGCCAATGTATTTATTTTCCATAAATAACATATTTTTCCGCAAGAAAAATTTTGTTTAATTGTAAATTATTGTAAGTAAGTTACGTATTTCTCCCTCTTCATAAATTTCACAGTAATAAAAATTTTATGTAATAAATTATTTTTTTTATTTGTACAAATTTACGGTACCCATAAGAAACATATAAGTAACAATATCAAAGTTGATTGAAAGTCATAAATTTTAGTTTGATTGATTTGTAGTTACTTATTATAAAAATAATAAATTAATACAAATAAAAAAATATAAAAAATTTAAAGTCTAAAAACTTTATTGAATGAAAATAGAGTTATCGTATTAAAAAATATTTTTTCATTACTACAATTAAATCCTTTTATTTAGCCAGAATTTCCATATATCAAAGGGAATATCTATTAACTTTGCCCAAAATAATTTACCAAAAAAAAAAAAAATTGCCCAAAATGGATAATGATCCCACATAAGGGCTATTTTAGTCATTACATATATAGTAGGTGGAGTTTCACCATTAATTGCGGTTTTGTTGTCGCACACAGCTGGTATTTTCTTTCGTCGGTAAGGAGTCCACGTGGCAATTCTCAATGCTTGTTAACCGGCATCGATGAATGCAAGACCCACTCGTCATAATAGCGCGTCAATATCACCCACTATCAGTCTTACGTGTCAACCATGAAAGTGCTTCTCAGATTAACTGCAAATCAACCTCCAAGAGTGTGACGTTTGTGTTTCACGCGCTAAATAAGGTTTGTGGTTGTGATTTTTCTAAATATTCATAATCGCTCTTACTGATCTTGTGCTTGACGACCTACGAGATAAGCATGAGGTCTGGTCACATTACCTTACCCCACTTTCCGTTCAATAAAATATGACACTTTAAAATTTTTTAGGGTGAATTATACTTTGTACCTAAAAGATTTAAATATTTTTATTTTACACCTTCAAAGATAAACTTTTTTAAATTACATCTTTAATATATTAAAAGTGTTACAATACGCTTTTTCTGTTAATTTTTGTTATTTTTTTCTTAAAAACCTCTCTATTCTATTGACACTGACAAAAAAATAACGAAATTAAACAAAATAATCATATTACAACATTTTGGATATATTAAGGGCGCAATGTAAAAAGTTAATTTTTTAAGGATATAAAATAAATTATTTTAAATCTTTTAGAATATAAAATATAATTCTCCCAAAATTTTATGAAATAAATTTCTCTCGAGATCCACAGACATTACAAAAATAGTTTGAAAAAATATATTATATTTTTATGACGTCAACGGGTCTCGGTGTAAATTAGTCAAATGTAAGTAGGTGTGATTGAAATTTATCATTTTTTATTTTATAGTTATATAGTAATCAAATTAAAATCTACATTCTCCCTACTTCAATATGGTATTCAATTTTCTGTGGGTATACTTCTCCTGGAATTTCTAATTTAATCTGATTAACCTTTAGCTTTAATTGTTTATTGACATTTTTGCCCCAGGTTATAGCATATCCAACCTAGTTCTACCTAGGGTTGTTGCCAAACCTATCTGGCTATCTGGGTGTAGCTATTCTTTTGATTTGTTCGTATTAAAAAATAAAGTTAATATGAGTAGGCTTCTTGCATCTGGTGAACCAGCCGGTCCAGCCCCCACACACTCGACCAAACCAGAGGCTGCGCCAATTATCCATCCATAAATCACATATATTTCATTTAGCAAGTACATGATCTAAAAAATAAGAATACCATCGATAGAGTCATACCATAGGAAAAGTCAACTCTTTTATTTATGGGGGATTTGTACTAGAGGATGGTAAACACAAGAAAGTAATAAAAGCACACCAATCCATAGAGCCAATATACATTATCACAGCCACAGCAGTTTTTGGAAAGCTTAATCAACANGGGGGATTTGTACTAGAGGATGGTAAACACAAGAAAGTAATAAAAGCACACCAATCCTTAGAGCCAATATACATTATCACAGCCACAGCAGTTTTTGGAAAGCTTAATCAACGNTTTAAATCTTTTAGAATATAAAATATAATTCTCCCAAAATTTTATGAAATAAATTTCTCTCGAGATCCACAGACATTACAAAAATAGTTTGAAAAAATATATTATATTTTTATGACGTCAACGGGTCTCGGTGTAAATTAGTCAAATGTAAGTAGGTGTGATTGAAATTTATCATTTTTTATTTTATAGTTATATAGTAATCAAATTAAAATCTACATTCTCCCTACTTCAATATGGTATTCAATTTTCTGTGGGTATACTTCTCATGGAATTTCTAATTTAATCTGATTAACCTTTAGCTTTAATTGTTTATTGACATTTTTGCCCCAGGTTATAGCATATCCAACCTAGTTCTACCTAGGGTTGTTGCCAAACCTATCTGGCTATCTGGGTGTAGCTATTCTTTTGATTTGTTCGTATTAAAAAATAAAGTTAATATGAGTAGGCTTCTTGCATCTGGTGAACCAGCCGGTCCAGCCCCCACACACTCGACCAAACCAGAGGCTGCGCCAATTATCCATCCATAAATCACATATATTTCATTTAGCAAGTACATGATCTAAAAAATAAGAATACCATCGATAGAGTCATACCATAGGAAAAGTCAACTCTTTTATTTATGGGGGATTTGTACTAGAGGATGGTAAACACAAGAAAGTAATAAAAGCACNGATATAAAATAAATTATTTTAAATCTTTTAGAATATAAAATATAATTCTCCCAAAATTTTATGAAATAAATTTCTCTCGAGATCCACAGACATTACAAAAATAGTTTGAAAAAATATATTATATTTTTATGACGTCAACGGGTCTCGGTGTAAATTAGTCAAATGTAAGTAGGTGTGATTGAAATTTATCATTTTTTATTTTATAGTTATATAGTAATCAAATTAAAATCTACATTCTCCCTACTTCAATATGGTATTCAATTTTCTGTGGGTATACTTCTCCTGGAATTTCTAATTTAATCTGATTAACCTTTAGCTTTAATTGTTTATTGACATTTTTGCCCCAGGTTATAGCATATCCAACCTAGTTCTACCTAGGGTTGTTGCCAAACCTATCTGGCTATCTGGGTGTAGCTATTCTTTTGATTTGTTCGTATTAAAAAATAAAGTTAATATGAGTAGGCTTCTTGCATCTGGTGAACCAGCCGGTCCAGCCCCCACACACTCGACCAAACCAGAGGCTGCGCCAATTATCCATCCATAAATCACATATATTTCATTTAGCAAGTACATGATCTAAAAAATAAGAATACCATCGATAGAGTCATACCATAGGAAAAGTCAACTCTTTTATTTATGGGGGATTTGTACTAGAGGATGGTAAACACAAGAAAGTAATAAAAGCACACCAATCCTTAGAGCCAATATACATTATCACAGCCACAGCAGTTTTTGGAAAGCTTAATCAACGGCATGATGAGCAGCACCATTCTGTCCAAATGATTCAATATATTCTTTCCTGTACATAAAGACCAGACCAAAATGATTTTAGTCACCAACATGTTCCTAGTTACTGCAAAGGAAAAGTGTAAACAAACATAATGAGAATCCAAAACACACCTGGCAGGTAGATGATCATGAGGACGATTATACGGAGTCCAAACCGGATCGCCAATAAAGAGCCGCATTGCCTGCATAAAGATACGTTGCATAAGAAACTTTGTCCCAAACAAGTGACCTCTCAAACATAGTTCCCATGGTCAAGGATACGCATCCAACCAACAAATAGAACAAATATATGGATGACTGTCACTAGTGCATTGCATTTTCACTCAGCACATCTACACATCATGTTGCATAATTCCGGGCATGGACTGGAGAAAGATTATGAGCATAAACTCGGGAAAGAGAAGATATATGAACGGACAGGACGGTTTAAAATACTAACACAAGCAGCACAGAGAAGGCAACGAATATGCATACATTGCACGGTACCTACGTATGGATGTAGGTGACCATGTAAACTTTAGATATTAATACATGATTACGTATTTCTAATTGCAATCTTTTGTATTCTCAATTGTCCTATGGTTGACCAGTGAAATGAAGGAAAAGAATTGCAATTGGATCATTATGTAACCTTTACCCACTGGCATTCTGGGGGGATGATACCCTCAATTGCAATTCACAAAATAAAGGATACAAGGAAATTGTTGATATATCTATTGCAGAGACATCCCATTACCCTCCATCATATATTTTTCTTTTTTCATTACATGAGAAACTGAAACAAAAACATCATAATCAACTATGTACTTGACCCAGCTATTGTTTTTTGAAAGGAAGATAAAACAAAGTATGCATTTTTGGATTAATTCACCATGCCATAAATGAAGTATGAATGTACCTTAATGTAGTTGTTTGCATCGAGTGTAAAGCGGTGATAAATTCCAGCAGGTAGGACAATCATTGCACCTTTTTTCACCCAGACGCGGATCCAAGCATCATTATGGTCGCGTACATCAAAATAACCTTCACAACAAATTGCATCTGTTAAGAAGGCCTGAATTGGTAGGCAAAGCAGGAATCATGCACTATAAAAATTTATAAACCTACCACTTCCTGCAACACAATAACGAATCTCCTCATCAGTATGAAGGTGTTCCTCGTAAAAGTTTTTGATCTTCTCTTCATAGTTGGGCAGCTTTTCTGGGCAAACCTCACAGAAGTCCTGGAGCAAAAGTTGCAACTCATTTTACCTCCATAACTTACAGGATGGCAACCCAAACTATGGCTCTAGAATGCGGGGAAAAAGATTGTCCAAACATAGAAAATTTAATCAGTAATTGGTGCATTTGTAAATTCTGATTTCTAATATACCATGTAGGAATATCCACGGGCTTCACGGATTTTCTTCAACTCCTCATCAGTTTCATAGTTATCAGCATCTAATCGCCAGCTGAGTACTCCAAGTTCTGCAAAGTTAAGATAATGGCTCAGTGTTAGCTAAAAGGATTCACAGATTCAATGAATATTAGAAGTTTGCTTTGAAGTTTTGTACCATCAAGTTTGTCCAGTGACACAAATTCCTTTGGATCCCGGTGATGGGGGAGTCTCTGATCTTCATCACTATCATCCATGTACCATGCCTGTATGACTTCCTCCCTGTCATCCTGTAGGAAACCAAAATGGTGAGAAAGATGCACTACTTCAGATTCCTCTTCTCTTGTTTTCCTTATTTACAATTTCTTGCTACAGGAAAGTAAAACTTTCCACTGAGAAAACCCTATACAGTCAACTATCATAAATAAGAAAATTTTGTACACCTCTTGTTAAGCAAAACTATTTTGTTTGCAGATTTTCTCCAACAAGATCAAGGGCAAGATATTAGCATTTGGCTCCAAACAGCTCTAACTAAATTGCTATATAAAGTTATATTCTTCTCGATTGTGAAAACATCGTTGTTCATAACAACGAAAGCTCTCAGTTTCCACATTTACCTGCATGGCATTTGTCTCATTTGACAACTAACAAACACATAAAAGCAAAATAAAGAGCAAAATTGGTTCTTAACAATGCCATAAAAATATATTCAATCTGTTAAAGAGTAGAGATTGTTGTATCTTCATACTTATTAGAATAGGTAACCAATACTGAGCAATTCATGTGACGATGAGATTTAGGACCCCCACTGCATCAAAAGATCACATTTAGCATAAGCCATATAACTAGTATGAAAAATGGGTACATCCTGACAAAATTTTGTGGCGAACATAAGACCCAACTGATCATTGGCGAAAGAGAGTTCTTAAATTTCGGTAGGCATTTAGTGCATTCTACTCTAAGAAATAAACATCACATCCTACCTTTTGGGCAGTAAAATACCTTTGTCCCTTAAACTCAAGTGTCCCACTTTCCCCTGAACATCAGGAGAACATGGTTTCATTTCAGTTATTATACAGAAGGAAAAAATCCATTTCCCAAATTGAGAGACGTAAGCAACTACCATGCTGATTCCATAATCAGGATTACTGAAAAAACCTTCAAACTATTCCAAGGAATGGGTAGCTGAAATTTTATGATAATGGACAAAACGGATCACCTCCAATTTACTGTCTTTTAAAAACACTTCTCCTTGTACAAAGATTTTCAGCAACCAAAGCTCCAAGACAACTAGTTTTTCAGAGCTATGAACGAATACAAGCCTTATAATAGATCATCATCCTCAAGGACAAAAAGTACTTTTGCAAAACAAACTATCATAAGGCTTCTTGAACCCTGCATATCACAGTGCAAAGATATGATAAGCTCCTAAGTTGCATACATGGGGTTTGCAGGTCACCACATTTACTCAAGGGGATTAATCTCACCAAAAAAGGAGCTAGTAAAACAAAACGAAGTAAGGCAAAAACAAAGGTGCAATACGCTCTTCTTTTGATTCTTCCACACCTCAAGCTAGAGCAGCAGCACAAGATGGAAGGCTCTACGGGGTAATATCTATCATAAACTGATCACTGGATAACTCATACGTGCATGATTATCACCAGCAAAATCCAACTCCCTCCACAATGTCACCGAAGTTCCAGGGGCAATCTACTATCATCTTGTTTTAAGATGATTTCCCCAACTGGTTGGGCATTCAAGTCTCACTAATTCAATAAGTTTGGCATTAAAAGTAAATTCTAATCTCGTAAAAAAAGCAAGCTTTAACTTGCTTCTGCTTCAAGTTGGAGAAGAAATTGCCCTCACAATATCCAGCCCCATCTGCCAAGGGGCAGCCCTATTTTCTTCGATCTAAATGGCAACAATGTTACATTCCCACATGCTCGTCTCTCCATCCCTGCCTTTCTCTCTTTCATTCTCTCCATACCTAGTCATATTCACTTGAAATGGAAAAGGAAGCATTCTTGTTCCAAGTCCAACACACACTAAAATCAATTGTACACCTCGAGTTGTTGACTGGCCAAACCAAAACCACTTATTTAGCTCAGACCCAAGATTATGTTCAAGCAAATAAACCCACCTCTCTGATTTATTCTAGGAGCAAAAAACCATACATTCGGCAACATATAAACATTCAATTCAATTACAAAATTAGCTAGAAATTCAAAGAATTACGGCAACATATAAACTCTTCAAAACTAAAAAATTAAAAGAAAACTAATTGATGATCGAATTTCCTGAAACAAAAACAAAATCACACACGCATACGTCTATATATATCCATACCCACAAAGCAACATAAGCAGTACAACCTNACGGCAACATATAAACTCTTCAAAACTAAAAAATTAAAAGAAAACTAATTGATGATCAAATTTCCTGAAACAAAAACAAAATCACACACGCATACGTCTATATATATCCATACCCACAAAGCAACATAAGCAGTACAACCTCTTCGATACATGAATCGATTAAACTTCAATAGATTACCTTGCGAGCAGACCCCATCTCTGCTCTGCTTTCTCTCCCTGTGTTTGTGTGTTGAAATTCTCTTGGGCTTTGAACGAGTTGAGCTTCGAAGCAACGCGAGAGGATATCGTTTTTAAGGTTGTGCTTGGCCAACCAAAATATTAGATTAGATTATAATGCTAATCACGCTTCTAGCATGCCATTTTTATATTAACAACACCTGTCAAGTTTTTTTTTTTTTTTGTTTCCAGGTTCATTGAACCCGCATAAATGGATTCGAACTCCGAATCGAATTTAAACTTTAATAAATTATTTTAATTAATTTAATTTAATCTCTTTAAAGTTTAAAACATCTAATTTGAATTTAAATAACCTTTACGATCACGTTTCGTTGATCTTTTCATATTGTTCGAAGAAATGAAACCTAGTCGATTTTATTAAAGAATTTAAAGGACAAATTATATAGGGAATATTTGAACATTAAATTAAATGAAATATTTTTAGAAATAAATTGAAAAAATATTTTAAGGATTAAATGAATAAAAATCTAAGCATGAAATAAATTTATAAAATGCACATAGTTTAGGGACTGTAATGGCTATAAAACCCTTCTAATTGTAAGGATTTCATTTCAATTCATGTCAAAATGTATATAAAAGAGATAAATGGTGAATAATCTTAATTATATTTTTAATAATTAAATTCAAACCTCAAATTTACAACATTAGTTGGATGAATGAACCACATCATTATGAACAAAGTAATTAATTCCCACATGTTATTTTTTACATCTTATCAATTGGGATTCACCTATATTATTAAAAAATTATTTTTCAATATTATACATTTTATTTGTACTAAACAAAACAATACACATGTAATATTTTATTTTATTATTTTTATAATCGTGATAAAAAAAAAAAATTGTTATGATATCATAGTGTTATTGTAGTGCTATCCTATCCAACCTTTGACACTTTTCCCTTTCTGAACCAACACAGTTGAAGGAAATGGGATTTGGTTCGTAAATTGAAGCTGGTAATGTCACAAACATTAAAGAAATCCCAAATATTACTGAAAAAACATAACGAGGAACACCTTCATCTCAACTGGGTAATGTTACAAACATTACTTAAAAAAAAATCACTTCTGACATTTTTTTTCTCTCCAAATGCAGTTTATATGCTAATGAATTAAAGAAGATCTAGTTCAAATTAAATAAGTAAACAAGATGGTTCAACTTGCATCCATTTGTCGCTCCTCCGGATTTTCTTCCTTGTCTTGGCCAATTACCTCAATGGATTCCATTTGGATTGTTGGAGGGGGTAGCACCTGTACCACCATCTCTACCAATTCTTCAACGGTGTCTCCCATCCGTGTGTCACAGTCGTCTATAATCTGCAAAAAATACGAGGCATAAAAGAAAATTTTGCAAATAAGCATATCTCCTGGACAAACTAAAGAAATCATGCAAGTGAGAAGAGATACAAGAGTTTGAAGGGCAGTATGTAATGCACATCCACATGGAGGCACATAAATATGTGATGGGCAATCGCCTTTCATTGGCCTGAATATTCAGTTATACAAATGACTGAAAAATGTATTCATTTCTGAAAACAATGGTTATAGAAAAAAACATAATACACACTCAAATGATTGTGAAATGTAGAGGTCTTGGCTGATGAAATTTTGTATGTACTGTAGCCATTTTGCTGCAGATTGCCAATATCAAGTGTTTTGCTAGCCAAAACATTCTGGAAAAATAAAATGCGAAGTACAAAATAAATATGAAGCATCTATTTTTATAAAAATTGTAGAGGTTGAAAAGCTATTGCACCCAATGGAAGTGCTAGGCTTTTACTATCCACCCAGCTTCAGATATCCACAAACTAACAGCATATGCAGCATGAACTAATATAAAATGTAAAGCAAATGTGGAGTGAAACAATTATATCTCATCGATCCTTACATTATGCATATGAAGAATTTGAAGCCAATAGGAAAAAAGCATCAAATATTTTACCAAATTTTAGACAACCACAGATGCTCGAGTACATCGATGAAAGAGGGGCTTTGGAGAGCACTAANGACCCCATCTCTGCTCTGCTTTCTCTCCCTGTGTTTGTGTGTTGAAATTCTCTTGGGCTTTGAACGAGTTGAGCTTCGAAGCAACGCGAGAGGATATCGTTTTTAAGGTTCTGCTTGGCCAACCAAAATATTAGATTAGATTATAATGCTAATCACGCTTCTAGCATGCCATTTTTATATTAACAACACCTGTCAAGTTTTTTTTTTTTTTTGTTTCCAGGTTCATTGAACCCGCATAAATGGATTCGAACTCCGAATCGAATTTAAACTTTAATAAATTATTTTAATTAATTTAATTTAATCTCTTTAAAGTTTAAAACATCTAATTTGAATTTAAATAACCTTTACGATCACGTTTCGTTGATCTTTTCATATTGTTCGAAGAAATGAAACCTAGTCGATTTTATTAAAGAATTTAAAGGACAAATTATATAGGGAATATTTGAACATTAAATTAAATGAAATATTTTTAGAAATAAATTGAAAAAATATTTTAAGGATTAAATGAATAAAAATCTAAGCATGAAATAAATTTATAAAATGCACATAGTTTAGGGACTGTAATGGCTATAAAACCCTTCTAATTGTAAGGATTTCATTTCAATTCATGTCAAAATGTATATAAAAGAGATAAATGGTGAATAATCTTAATTATATTTTTAATAATTAAATTCAAACCTCAAATTTACAACATTAGTTAGATGAATGAACCACATCATTATGAATTAAGTAATTAATTCCCACATGTTATTTTTTACATCTTATCAATTGGTATTCACCTATATTATTAAAAAATTATTTTTCAATGTTATACATTTTATTTGTACTAAACAAAACAATACACATGTAATATTTTATTTTATTATTTTTATAATCGTGATAAAAAAAAATTGTTATGATATCATAGTGTTATTGTAGTGCTATCCTATCCAACCTTTGACACTTTTCCCTTTCTGAACCAACACAGTTGAAGGAAATGGGATTTGGTTCGTAAATTGAAGCTGGTAATGTCACAAACATTAAAGAAATCCCAAATATTACTGAAAAAACATAACGAGGAACACCTTCATCTCAACTGGGTAATGTTACAAACATTACTTAAAAAACATCACTTCTGACATTTTTTTTTCCCTCCAAATGCAGTTTATATGCTAATGAATTAAAGAAGATCTAGTTCAAATTAAATCAGTAAACAAGATGGTTCAACTTGCATCCATTTGTCGCTCCTCCGGATTTTCTTCCTTGTCTTGGCCAATTACCTCAATGGATTCCATTTGGATTGTTGGAGGGGGTAGCACCTGTACCACCATCTCTACCAATTCTTCAACGGTGTCTCCCATCCGTGTGTCACAGTCGTCTATAATCTGCAAAAAATACGAGGCATAAAAGAAAATTTTGCAAATAAGCATATCTCCTGGACAAACTAAAGAAATCATGCAAGTGAGAAGAGATACAAGAGTTTGAAGGGCAGTATGTAATGCACATCCACATGGAGGCACATAAATATGTGATGGGCAATCTTCTTTCATTGGCCTGAATATTCAGTTATACAAATGACTAAAAAATGTATTCATTTCTGAAAACAATGGTTATAGAAAAAAACACAATACACACTCAAATGATTGTGAAATCTAGAGGTCTTGGCTGATGAAATTTTGTATGTACTGTAGCCATTTTGCTGCAGATTGCCAATATCAAGTGTTTTGCTAGCCAAAACATTCTGGAAAAATAAAATGCGAAGTACAAAATAAATATGAAGCATCTATTTTTATAAAACTTGTAGAGGTTGAAAAGCTATTGCACCCAATGGAAGTGCTAGGCTTTTACTATCCACCCAGATTCAGATATCCACAAACTAACAGCATATGCAGCATGAACAAATAAAAATGTAAAGCAAATGTGGAGTGTAACAATTATATCTCATCGATCCTTACATTATGCATATGAAGAATTTGAAGCCAATAGGAAAAAAGCACCAAATATTTTACCAAATTTTAGACAACCACAGATGCTCGAGTACATCGATGAAAGAGGGGGTTTGGAGAGCACTAGATAGATTTACCGGATCAATTTCAACCACAGAGGATGGCCTAACGTTGATGATATTGAGAATCTCAGATTTAGCAAGGTTGTACTTTTTGCATTTTCCCAAGAAATCAGAGATACTCTCTCTTGTTTGATTGCAAGCAACACTCTTCTCCAAATAATCATATACCTAGAACAAGTTTAATTCAATCAGCCCACAAATATTTCCATTACCAGAGCACAAGAAACAGATATTTTGTTGGTACACACATCGAACCTTGAACTCTGATGGTGCCACAGATGCAAGAACCCGTGTGGGATCCTTCCCAGCGCCTCTAGATCGTAGAAAGTCAAGTACTTCAAAATAGGTAAGTGCACCACAATCAGCTTCGAGTCTACAAAACATCCAGCTTGTGTAAATGTAACCAGTAACCAGTAACCAG